GAAAGCCCTTTCCCCCCCCCCCCTCATGTTTTATGAATTTTTAACTTCAGAGCAGAGTGTGCCAGCATCTCTCTAGTGTCCTCATCCAAGTACAGGGTTTGAGATTTAGTGAGAAATGTTTCCTCAGCCTTCGGCCATCTCCCAGACCTGAATCCTCATCTGCTAGTCCTGCTCCCAGTGTTTTCCAAAGATTGCTCCACCAATAAGTCATCCCACCCTCCTTTCTATTTTCTTCCTTGGACTTCATGAACAACAGGATTGTCTGGGTTTTCTTTTTGTAGTTATTATCCTTCTGCCCAGCTGGCCCTAGGTAATATCAGCTCAGAATCTAACTGTAATGGCTAAAGAGACTTATCCAAGCCCCCCTCTTCACATCTCTTTCCTACCCTAGACACACTACTTAAGCTTTACAAAGACACTAACCTCTTTCCTCCCACCTATATGACTTTAAAATGGTCACATGTGTTGGAGAAACTGGGTTATTGCTAGATACAAGTTCTTGCAGTCCCTTGGGTGTAAATGCCATCAGAACTACAATACTTCCCGTTGAAAAAGGTCACCCTTCTTTCTCTTTTAACCCCTTCATTCCTTCCCCCAGCAGAATAAAACACTAGAATTTATTTATACGTATTTGATGTTGTAGGTCTAGGTGAAAAAGTAATTGTTTCACTGCTCTATTTATATATTATGTCTGAATTATTCTGTGCAGGAAAGGCCAAGAAATGCATGTGAGCTTCATTCCATTCCTCACCTTTGCGTGACTGTCAGCTGCAGTTGGCAAGACTCTCTTTCACTTAATGGAGTTTTGTGTGATGGAAAGCAGTTTTAGAGCCCAGATTTCTACAGTGCAATATCCTTCCTCTCTTGCATAGATTTTTTTTTTTTTTTTTGTTTGTTTAAAGCTAGTGCAAGGTTAGTGCAGTTCGTGGTGCTCTTGAGTCAAAAGGAAAGCCTCTGATCCTCGAGATGCAGAAATGCCAGGGGTGCTGGTACGCTGATAGGAATTCAGCTTGGGGAAGAGAAGAACGAAGATGCATAGAACGTGGGTACGGTTTCTAAGGGGATACTTTGCTTGCCATCTCCATTGCTGAAGGGTTGGGCTTTAATGATTTATTCCTTTGTGAGTTGCTTTTGCTTTGACTGGAAATCAGCCACCAAATTGCAGGCTCCTTCTGCTAGGAAAGGTGCAGTGGGAGGGAGAGGTGGAATCCATATTTTCAGCAGCAATGGGTGAAGCAGAAATATTCAGAGGCTGACTTTGATGCTTTTTGTTCAGCTGAAGGTCTGAAGCATGTGTATAATCAGTTCTTATACACAGTGATTCATGGCCTAATAGCTGCATTCAGTGCTGCTTTCCTCTCCAATTCAGCCTGCTTTTAGCTCTTAATTTAGAAAAAATATACTTAAAAAAATAAGGAAAAAAGGAAGTAAAAGAAAAAAAACCCCACTCTGTATATTTTAAAATGACAAGTGGAAGCAGCACAGTCACCAGTGAAACAGATGCTCTTGTTGATCTTCCATCCTTGGCTCCTGGCTCTGCCCTGTGACACTGTGCGGTCGTCAGTGGCTCTCGATGTGTTTGCAGCCCATTGGCCTCCCATGCGTGTTCGTGTTCATGCAGAGGCACTCCATTTAACAATTCCCTTGCAAGAATGCTGCAAAGCTACAAGCTGCCCTGTGATTCCTGTGTATTTATAGGTATATATTAAAAACCCCAAGCCTAGCATTTTTGCTCCGTCTCACTTTTTGCCAGGCTACTCTTCACTTCCAAGCACCACTGCATGCCAGGATCTCCTTCTGTTGCGTTTCATTAACCACCTGTTTTGCTTCTGGCTGGTTAATCCCTTGTAGCACAGGTTATGTTTGACGTACAGCAGCCCAGTTTTCCTTGTCAGAAAGATGCATTTATGAATAAGCATTTACAACAGGCATCAGGATATACCTGGTTGTGACCCATCGACAGAAACGGTGCGTTTCGCCCAAGCAGCGGAGCTGCTGACAAGAAACAGCAGCAATCCCATTATTTGTGGTTTATTTTAACCCAGAGACCACCAGATCCTTCTCGTGGCCGCAGACACCCCATTGGAGCTAATGCCTGTCCCCGGCTCCTCGGGATGTCTGCGGCCACATCCCAGCCCTTTCCTTAGGGACTAGCAGCAGTGAGGCGCTCCCCCTTAGCATGTCTCGAGGCGTTGTCCTTAGCTGGAATTCCTCTGGATCTGTATAAATCGTCGTTTCTCAAGGGGATATTGTACTCCTTAAAGCTTTTAACCTCATGACCTGTATAGTCCATTTCTTTTCTTTTTCTTTCCTTTTTTTTTTTTTTTTTTTTGGCCTTTCCTCTCTTTGTCTTTTCATGTAGACCAGATATTTGAAAGGGCAGACGATGGATAATTGTGTAACGTGCAACCTGTTTATATATATATATTTTTGGGGAACTTTTCCTTGGACCGGAATCACGGAATCACCAGGCCAGTTGCGGCACACTCTTTATCGCCCTTTTTTCCTCGTTTCAGTACCTATTGTTTCTCCTTTCAAATATGTGATTGTATTAGCTCTTTCCATATGAAAGAATTCTCCTTATTTAAATAAAAAATAAAAAAAATAAAAAAAATAAAGCAGATTATGCT